GAATTTCGTGTAACGCATTTTCCTCAATTCTCATCGATCTTCAATCAAAATTTGGATTTTGAGCATCAGGGTTCTATGTTACAGAGACATTGCTACCGAAGTAGTTTGTTATATATACAGAGAACATGTTTGATGTTTTCTCATGACAATGATGTTGTAGGAGCTATAAAGGTGGTCGGATATGGCGGCTAATGTTTCTGCTGGAAACATTCATCATTTCCATCTTCCGGGTCAGGGACAAGATTCATTGAGTTCTGGTTTTACTTTCAGGGCAAATCCATTCAAAGAGATCTCTTGGTGTGTGATCTTTCTTCTCATGAAAAGAACTCATCTTCTTATGCTGGACTCAAACTTCTCTAATCTGTTTGTGTGATATATAGGTCAAGTGGCGTATCTAAGTCTCTAAAGGCTGAGAGATGTGGTTGTTACTCTCGTGGTGTGTCCGCCATCAACGAGAGCTCGAGGCTTTGTAAAAGTATCAGGGCAGTATTGGGATCGTCTTCGACAAAGTATTATGATTTCACTGTGATTGGTAGTGGAGTGGCGGGTTTGCGTTATGCTTTGGAAGTTGCAAAGCAAGGGACAGTAGCAGTGATTACCAAAGATGAGCCTCATGAGAGTAACACAAACTATGCTCAAGGTGGTGTTAGTGCTGTCTTGTGCCCTTTGGATTCTGTTGAAAGTCATATGCAGGACACAATTGTCGCCGGTGCTCATCTTTGTGACGAAGAAACCGTTAGAGTAAGCCTCCCATTACTGTTTATATATATTCACTAAGAAGGAGAACTTGTTGATGCTGCATTGTCTCACTTTTCACTGTCTGAATGTCTCTTTTTCAGGTTGTGTGTACAGAAGGGCCTGAAAGGATTCGTGAACTTATTGCGATGGGAGCGTCATTTGATCACGGCGAGGATGGAAACTTGCATTTGGCAAGAGAAGGTGGTCACTCGCATCGTAGGATCGTTCACGCAGCTGATATGACTGGAAGAGAGATTGAGAGAGCTTTACTTGAAGCCGTACTTAACGATCCCAACATATCCGTCTTCAAACACCATTTCGCAATCGATCTACTCACTTCTCAGGTTCCACTTCACACCCTTGGAAAAACCAAATTGTCTCCGATCCATTGACTTATCAGATCATTATGTTTTTATATGAACAGGATGGTTTGAACACAGTTTGTCATGGTGTTGACACTTTGAATATCAATACAAATGAGGTACAAAAAGATCTTGTTTCTGTCGGTTTGATTATTCGTCTTGTAGCTTGGATTGTAATGTAAAAGACCTAATGTTTCTTCAGGTAGTACGTTTTATATCGAAGGTGACATTGCTTGCTTCAGGTGGAGCTGGGCATATATATCCATCAACCACAAATCCTCTGGTAACATTTTCTTTAGATTCTCTTAGTTACAAAACTCTATGGAAGTTTCCTATTGTAATCACTTGTGGTTGTGCTAGTTGCGATGATATATGTTGAAATGTGTTAAATAGTTTGCTTTAATCCATTATTATGATCCTCATG